ATATACATATATATATGTACATACATACATATATATATGTATGTATGTATGTATGTATATGTATATTCTAATTGTGTTAATTTTTATGTTCTTTTAAAATTTTTATAAAAAACACACAGATACATATACACACAGTTTAAAAGAACATAAAAAATAACAAACTAATAAAAAGAAAAAGCAGAAAAAGGGACAAAAGTGCAAAAAGAAAGAAAAAAATGAAATAGAAGTTTTCAATTTTCTTTGCAGCAAATATAAGTACAATGGCAAAATTATGTCTTACTCTAATTACAAAAGAAAGCTCACACTTTGCTATTATCCAGTTGTTGTTTTTCTAATCATCAAAACCACAAACCATAAGTACATTTTTTCTATTTTATGCAAAAATTCTGTAAGGGGTTTCCAATCAGCCATAAATAAAAATATTGTTTTTTTCTCTAAGCAAATAAGTTAATGTATCCATCTCTGGATAAATCATGTTCACCAGCCATTTCTCTATTGTGAGTATTATAGAACTTTCCACTTATGAGCATATAATAGTCTCGCTATAATTATCACATATTTAAAAAGTTCCATAGCTTTTTTCTAGTTGTTTATCCATTAGTCCCCAAAGAGAGAGGTCTGGTTTCAATTGTGTGTTAACTTTTAAAATATTCTGAATTAACGTAAAGGTAGTCTTTAACTTACAACTGTTTGCTTAATAACCATTCAAAGTTACAACAGCATTGCAAAAAGTGGCTTACAACCAGTTCTCATACTTACAATTGTTGAAGTATCCTAATACTCATGACCAAAATTCAGGTGCTTGTCAACCAACATGTATTTAGCATGGTTGCAGTGCCTGAGGTCATGTGATCAGTATCTGCAACCTTCCCAACTGGCTTCTAACAAGCAAAGTCAATGGGAGAAGCTGGATTCACTTAATGACCATATGATTGACTTAACTACAGTAATCTGCTTAACAACCATGTAAAAATGGCCGTAAAATCCGATGTAAGTCATTTTGCTTAGCAATGAAAATTCTGGTCCAATTGTGATGTTAACTTGAGGACTTAATAACCTGTATTATTAGTATCCAATATTTTTTGAGCTTTTTTACATGTCTTATCATGCATGATATGTTTTTTCATGTAATTCACATTTCCAACAATGATTTGAAGTATATGTATACACTCAAGACAATTTCTCTGGTGACAAATATCAACGATACATCATTTTATAAAAATTCTCTTTAAGATTGGAACATAATGTAAAATGTAATGTATAAGCTTGAGTTTTTGGTAAACTTGAAAAATATTTACATTATTTTGGTAAAGGCCATGAATTCCTGGAAAAAATGGAACTGTTCTTTCATACATTTATTATGGATTATGACTTCTCTCACTTCTCAGTTGATGTTTGTGATCACTGAGTGGGAATGTCTTCATTTTTTCTTCTGTTTGTTACTCTCCTTTCCCCCCACTTGTTGCCCATCTCTTGTTGTGTCAGGGAGCATAATACCTGGGAACCTGAAAAGAACCTTGATTGCCCTGAACTGATTGCTGAGTTTATGAAAAAATACAAAAAAATGAAGGAAGGTGAAAACAAGCCTCGGGAGAAATCAGAGGGCACCAAGCGAAAGTCTAGCCTTGCCAACAACACTGAAGAGATCAAAGCCAAAAAGAAGAGAGAGGTGAGTATCCATCCTGCTGAAGATCTTTCCTCTTTTTATGACAATTTCTGTTTGGCATTCTTATGTAGACAGTTCTTCCTGTGTTTTAAAATTGGACAAAAAAACTTCAATTTGGATTTTCAAATAATATCAGGAGTGAAAAACATCTTTTCAAAGTAAAGCCCCTACTTTGTGCTAATTTTTACATACCTCTTGTGGAAAACTATCTTGTATAACAGGATGAACTAATTGCCACCACTATATTCTAAAGTAATTGTATTCTAAATGCTGTATTTTAAACTGATTGCCACCACTATTTTCTTTACCATTGTAAAGAAAAGAAACACTAAAGTAATTACAACTTTAAAATATAATAAAGATTAACAATCAAACAGGGCACTATGGTAGAGTAGATTAAGAGCTGAAGAAATGCAATTTATCATTTGAAAGGCTGGCTGAAGCAAGATTCTTAATTGTGACAATAAACAAAGAATGCACGAGGCTGAAGACTTCTCTGCCTAGATAGATTCTTCCTTTTTATTATCTTTAGTTTGCTTCAAGTTCTTGCAACTTGAATGAATGATTTATTGGCCAAGTGTGATTAGACACACAAGGAATTTGTTTGGGTGCATATGTTCTCAGTGTACATAAAAAGAAAAGATATATTCATTAAGAATCACAAGGTACAACATTTAATGATAGTCATAGGGTACAAAATAACTTGTCTCTAGAAAAGCTTTGAAAGTCTAGTTTAAGAATCTCTTGGGGAAAAATGTGCAGCCAAATGGTGCTGAAACCTTTGCTGCTGAAATTAAAGGATGTTCAGAGCAGATGCGATTCATGAGGAAACCAGGGGAAAAACCTCTCTGGGGGTTCTGGTGCACATTGAATTCAGTGTACTGAATATTTCTCCGTTGCTTTGTCTTGGGAAGCGTGCCTTCCCTGTCATGGTACTTGAGGTTTGGAATAGATCCTTCTGGAAGTTTGGACTGCCTGATCCTGCAATATTCTTTAAATATATGGCTTTTTTGGCAAGCTATGGGACAGCTTGATGATGTGCCCGTGTGATGCTTACTGGTTTTGTTTGTGATGTTTCCACTTATTACATAATGTTTTCTCATGTTGTTTTTAAGCATTGTACTGGTTTTAATTGTAAAATATGCTGCATGGTATCTGCTTTCAGTTTATTTGGTCTTAAAAATAGTAGCTATAACCTAAATATACATTATGTTTATAAATTCATTCATTCATTCAAGTTATATGGTATTAAAACACATCTTTACTGGGCGCTGTGAACTTGTGAAAACTGTATAAACGAGGATCTTATGAGTGGCATTTTATGTCTTGCCATTTCCCTCTGGAAGAGAAAAATCACCTATAACTCCATGTGTTTATTATTTTTTTTAGAGTCTTATCTGAAAAAAATGTCCTGCCCTTTACATCTGTGCCTATATAAAATTATGACTGTCATTAGAAATTCAGATCTGCACTCTACTGTTAGCCCTTAATGAAATCATGGGGGATAATAAGGTCACACATTTCATATCCAGCAGATTATTATTAGTGTATTTGGATTACAGTTTTATAAAACCATTATGATTTTTCCTTAAAATGTGGAAAGTAAATCTATCAGTTGTGAAATGAATTATTTGTTTCCTGCCAGAGCTACTTCAGTTCTCTTAACATTTTAGGTTGCCATGGTTCCCTGTTCAACATGGTGCCTCTGTTTTTTCAGAGCAAGTCAATTAGAACTATGCATAGCAGGGATTCATAGAGGCCTAATTTCCTGTTAAGTACAGGAATCCAAAATAAAACAAGTGCCTTTTTAGCTTCTGCTTCAGCACATCCAGTGAATGGGAGTCCATAACATCACTGGATAGTTGCTTCCATTATCACTTTTCCAGTTAGAATGTTTTTCTTAACATTTAACTGAACATTCCATTTAGTGGACTTTCATCTAAATTTAGTGTCCTAAGAAGACTCTTGCATGATATCACAGAGTCATGTAGGTGAGAGATGGGCGGTGTAAAAATTTGATAAAATAAATATCTTTCCATGTTTTTGAAGAACGCTTTCATTATTCTCCCTCAGTCTTCTCAAGGCTAAACATTCCTAACTTCTTCATGGCATTTAATCATTGTTATTAAACAGACTTTGGGATCTTAACAATAGTTAATATCCTAAATATACATTCAACCCATAAATTAGCTTTCCGAGGAGGCTGAACAACAGCAGAGAGCTACTGGAAATCATAGATTGACAATAAAGTTATTGCTGATCAAATGTCTTTCTGAGCATTGTGTTCTTTGTACACTTTCTTACTATGGCCAATATATGCACTATTTGATATATGGTATTTCTGTAAAAAAAAGTGCATAGATAGTTGAGCTCATTTTGCTCTGATAATGTCTCTCATTTTTGCTCCCTTTCTGATAAGTTAAATTTTTAATTAATGTTATTTTTATGTAAGCATCTTCTCTGAATATCTTCTCTATCTAAACCTATCTAAAACGGACTTGTATAGCATTGCTTTCCAGTTTTCAGTTATCTGCTATTTTTGAGTAGAAAGACAGGTTTAAACTATCTGTTTAGGGGATTGGGATTGTAACATCGGAATAGAAAGGAAAAGTAAGTGGTGCAATAATACACAGATTTCACTCATTTGCTATTTTTGAGTTCAATAGACCTGTGTGAGCCATCCACTCTTATTTTAGTGCGAGTTGAGAGGTACAGTACAGCTTGCCACAGTTTCTGTTTCTCAAGTTCTCTGTCTCCTATCCCCTCCTATGCCTGGTTGACATACAGATAGCAGTGTCTGATACTATTTGTAGCTCAAGACTCTTCTCATTCACCAGTGTTTCCTTTCAGATCTGTTTCCTACAGCAGAAGCCTATCTTAATTTTAGTACAGCAACATTGGATTTCCATTAGGTGTAATTTTCTGGAAAATTCTTCCCACACATTACCATATCCCCACAAATACACTGATCATTGAAATATCTTTGCAAGGTTATTACAACATGAGGATGTTTGTGCTGTTTTTAGGACAAGATACACTTTTATCTGGATGAATAGGATGCTGTATTCAATATCCAGATCCATCCCTGAAAAAAAAATCTTTTAAGTTATTGTCTTGTGTTAGTTTGATCCAGCCATTTAATGTATATTACAAGATGTCAATTTAGGGTTCTGAGAAATTCTCTAGTGGTAGAGGAGTGATCAATTCGGATTGTGCACATGTGGTAGTTTACTAAATATTGGGTATGCATATAATGTGTTGCTTGTAGATTGTACCTTAGCTTCCTGTATTCTCTAGGGGATGAGAATACAATGAAGCTTGTTAAAGGTAGGTCTCTTTTATAAAAGAGCTTTGGTATCTCAAGATTCTTGCAGCACTCAAAGAAAAATATTTGGATTTTTAAATTATTGTTGATGGTGGTGATGGTGGTTTTTACTATGTTTCTTTTTTTCTCTACCTGACTGGTTGCAATCCTTTTGAGAAGCCCCAATGAAGGGCTCTCTCTGTCTTCTAGCATATATTTTATTTATTTATTTATATGCCAGGCAGGTTTGGGGCATGTCATTTAAAGCACAGAAGGAGAATGTAGGCAAAGGTGTGAAATCTTTAACTTACTAAATTTACTTTCAGTAATGGAATTTGGCTTGGGAACATTTACCAGAGGGAATATCAGCATTCCCTTCTGCACTGGTGTTTTAAATTAAAAGTTGTATGATCTGTTTTTGGGACATCCAAAACAGTATTGATAAACTGTACATATATACAGATACAAAACCTAAACAAATCATCAAACCTATCTTTAAAACCTTTGTTGGAAGAAATATCCATCCGGTCCAGTTCCAAGCCGGGAGAAAGGCATTGGAGATAAAATGGAGGCTGGAGGCTGATTGGAAAGAGGGTCCAATAATTGATGAAGCAGAACCACCAAGATGTGTGATTCTGGACAGGTGACTACATGGAGTTGAGAATTTTATACCTTCTCTTCAGCTTTGCACTTGAGCTTCCTGTTCCTGTGCAAGAACATGTATTATATTGGTTGTTGTCAGACTCCAATGGGCTATATAAGAGTTGTTTGGAGGTCATAGCTGGCTCTACAGGCAAAAGTACAAATCCTAGGTGTTTGAGCTAAGTTTGGTTGAAGTTTTTAAATGTTTTTTTAAATGTTGGGCAATTCCTATTGTTTTTAAAGTGGTGTTGGGCAATTCCTATTGTGGCTCAGGGCTAATCCTACGTTGTTGTATCTTGGGTGTGGGTATTTACTAAGAATAGAGCTATCTCTTTTATCTCTTAAGTGCTGATATCTGCTGTGGTCTATTAAAGAAGGTGGGGGCTGATTTCTAAGAGCATGTTTCTTAATTTCTCATCCAGGGAAACATAATATTCTGCCTTTTTAATATTTCTCAAAATATTTCATTCTTCCAGGAGAGGGGTGGGTGCTAACTTTCTACACCTTCAAATGTGATCAGAGGGAAAAGGAAATTGTGTGTGTTGTAAAATAGGCAGGCTCTAAATTTGCTAAATATGTTTACAAGCTTGCTTAGACAAAACTTTGTCTGCAATCACAGATAAGTGGCTTACAATCTCACAATGCAGGACCAAATCTTAATGATAGTTACAAATCCTGCTGAAAATACAGAATTTTATAAAGTAATATACTTTAGTCAGCCTATTATCCAGTTACTGCTCTGGCTAATTTATATATAACAAGACCTTTGGTTTGAAAAACTTTTTCTACCAAGTTGCTGAGTGATGTAGTAACAATCTTTTTAAGGCTACACTAATTTTAATAGTTGCTGGTACTTTAAGGAATTAGATATTTATTGAATGGAGAGGCTATAGCCTTCCAGGTAAAATGGTGAACTACAACTCCCAATAACCCCAACTGTCTGGCTAGTAATAAGGCATTCTGGGAGTTGTGGTTTAGCAGTATCTTGGAGATATTGGAGGGTTGTAGGTACCCATTTCTGCTGAATCTGGATAATTGTTTTTTTAAAAAAATCTGCATCAGGTTCTCCATTTTTCCTACCCATGTCTTGGGAGGCTAAGACCAATTCATATCTTAAAAATTTCCCACACTAAATGAACTTGTCTTTTTTTTTTAGGTTAAAAAAAAATCCTGTCCATAATATTAAACATTAGTGAACAATTAAAAGGCGAGAGCGCTTCTTAAGTACTTTCTGAAGGCTTTCTTTTGCAGTAGATTGCACAATTTGTAAATTCCTTCCTTCCTTTGGGTTGTACCAATCATTAGATGAGTTGGTTCGATCTTGTTTTCTTCCACTTAACTATCCCAGGTTATTGTAATGCATTTCTTTTCTTTTCCTTCTTTCTCACTTTGCAACTGGCTTTAGTACTTCCACACACAAAAAAAAAAAAAAGCCAGGCAGTCTGCCTCTGACATGCTTGGTCTGCATAGCTGCATCTGCTAGACAGTATGTGTGAGCAACAAATGTGTGGATCTCTAGCAGAATAGCGTGCGGTGGTGGTGGTGCTGCTGCTGCTGCTGCAAAGCAGGGAGAACGCTTCTCGCTCCAGGCTTGCGGTGACTGAAAGCTGTTACCAGCCTTCAGATGGTATGTGCAGAGGGAGCTGATTGACCCTTGTCTGGGGGACCCCCCCCCGGAGGCTTAAGCTCTCGGTTGCAACAACAACCAACCAAAAATTTCCCCCCTTCTGCATGAATGGGACACACCCATCGACGGCACCACCGGCACAAAGACCTCAAGGACTGTGTGAGCCCGTAGAGGTGGTGCGCTCTGGAGCGGGGGAGGCGTAGCAGGGATGGGGAGCTTTGGAAATCGCGAATGGCTGCTGCTGCAGCAGCTGCTGCAAAGGCAAGATGACTTAATTCCCTCAATCTGCCCCCATCGCTTTCTTAGTTCATTTTCATGGCGACTTCGGGTCTCTCTCCCCCCCCCCCCTTTAGGCTTCTTTCCTTCACCTCGACAATCTCTCCCTCTCCCAACATGTAGTGAGGGAGAGAGCAAAGATTAATAATACAGGCAGGAAAGATATTAAGGCCTCCTCGGCTGCTAATTACAATCACCACGTATGGCATCTGTTTATCACCTGCTTCTGAGTGGCCCTGGAAGCCTCTGCTTCATGGTTGAGGAGACTAACAAATGGCTAAGGAATAGGAATATTTTAACTCTTTTTCTTCTCACTTTCTCTCCATCAGAGCACCGATATTGCCAGGGGCTTTGAAAGAGGATTGGAGCCAGAAAAAATCATCGGAGCCACAGACTCCTGCGGAGATTTAATGTTCCTAATGAAATGGTGAGTGTGCTTTTTTTTTTTAATTTAAAAAAAAAACATCTTGTGGTCTGATAACTGCATTTTTTTCTCCTTTGTGAAATACCCCCAGTAAATAAACCACTCTTGGGTGAGGCGCCATGGTTTAATGGCAGTTCCTTGGCTGGGCTTTGTTCTCCCTGGATTGGATGTTAGCTTCTGCTTTACAGATGCAAGTCCACCCTGAGCTTACAGTTGCATGGATTTTGCTTAAAGGAAGGCAAATTTATTGCCTCCCTCCTTGTCACCCCCAAAGTAGAGAGAGCACAGGAAATCCTTCTGGAAAGGTTTGACTTGCCTGTTGTTTTTGTTCCTGAGCTTATCTCTGCGGGAAGCCTCTCTGCAGACAGGCAGGGCAGCAGAGAGAGAGAGAGAGAGAGAGTTGGCTAGGCTGCATATGCAGCAGCTGCCCCTCCCCCAGCAGAAGCTGAGACAAAGAGCAGAGCCTGGCTTATCAGCCAGCCAGAGGTTATAGCAGAGCTGCCTTTAAGAAAATAGCCTTTTGCAGCTGCCACCCTCCCCCCCCCCCCACACACACCTCTTCCTCCTCCCCCACTCCCATCCGAATTCCATCTTAGGAGAGCAGGTCTTCCCCCACATCAAGGCACTGGAAGAAATAAGCCCTTGTCCTCCTTTCCTGTCTCTAAAGCTGGTTAGGCTGAGATGGATGGGGCTGCTGCTCCTTTGCAAGATAGAGTGGGGGCGGGGATCCAGCTGCAGGCCACTCTTTAGAAAAGGAGAGGAGGGGGGGAGGGAAGGAAAGAAGGAAGAGCAAAGACTAAAGGGCTTGGTAGTTTTCCACCATCATGTTTCTTTGTTATGTGCTGGGGGGAGGTGGGTCTCCGAAATTTATCTTGTAATGGTTGCAATTCCTAATTTGGGCACTCCTTTAGCATCACCTGAATTGCAATTGTAACTTAGTAGTGATTGTATACTCTGAGCCCCTGATTTTCAAATCCCAGACTATTGATCAAAATAAGATCTAAAATATTTGCTGTTTGAATGTCCGTAGATGTCTAGGGTTATCACTGTCAGCTGACCTGAATTCTGAAGGACAGGAAATACATTCAGTAAAGCTAATAGCAGAGTAATATTTTAGACAGTATCCTGAATAAATTTATCAAAAATAATTTTATTGCTGCACTTACTGTATATAAGAATTACAGTAAATACCATTAAAAAGTGTGTGCATTCTAGTGAGTTAGATTGCTTTTACTGTTTTATAAAAGAACTGAATTAAAAGACTTGACTCAGGTTTAGATTCAAACCTCGGGCTTGTAGGCCAAGACCAGATTATCCTTCACAGTGCACTTGCACTCAGACCAGTGAATTGGCTAGTTCAAAAGAGCCTAATATCCTAAACAGTGGAATTAATCAGGACATTCTTAGAACAGATTGCAAAGTTCAACTACACTAATTGTAATTAACTCTGCTGTGCATTAGATTATTTTTTTTAATCTTACCTTTGAAATCGATGGGCTCTATGTTCATTAACACATATTAGCTATGTTGGCTCTTTAACTCAGTTACTGAATTAAGATTGCAGTCCTATTACATTTGCTCTAAAGAAAGTTCAGTGAAAATCAGATTTTCTAATGATAATTTTATCAGATAGTAATTGTTCGCAAATTTAATGAGCAGTAACTTTTATAGCTATAAGAAAAGCTATATTTCAGCTCTGTTAGAATATGAAATATTGTACTTACTGCTTTTTAAAGCAAAATTAAGGCAACAAATTTAAAACCTTGGCTTAAACATTTATTTACCAATTGTCATTGAACATTATCAGTCTTAGTTACTGATGATTGTAAAAGCTTCTGCATTACAGACTATTAAGTACTAATGTTGGGGAACATATTTAAAAGAAAAGTCATTCTCTAATGTCTTTTATCAGAATTGCTGACATAGTTATAGGGCATCCTGCCCTGATAGAGGAGAGTCCTGTCTTAGAATGTGTTTGTCATTTGTGCCCCTTTAGTTAAATGCATGAAGATTAATTCTGATGAAATTTTTAGTAGAGTGCCATTAATTAATTTAAGTTTACTGCTTTAATCAGTACTACTGTTCCTGGAATGGCAGTTAAAGCAAGTAGGGCAGGGGTGGAACTAAACAGACAAAGCTAATAAACCAACTGATCCTTTTTTTTCTATTAGAATTCTTCATCCAGGTGTCATCCAGATGTTCCCTGCAATAGCATATTGGCAGGGATTGTGGAAGTTGTAGTCGAGGGCAGATGGAAGGGACCATTCTAGATTATGAATTTATTCCATGCCATTAACTTATGTAGTAACTTTCTGAAACGTAAAATTGGTATAAGTTTCCTCAAAGTTCTTAAATAGATCAGAAACAAACCATAGAAAATGTATTTGGATGGTCCTTCAAGAGATATTGTTGTAGTTTTCTTTTTTATGTGCTATTGGGTACCACCATGGACTAATATTTATTCTTGTTTAAGTTTAACCTTATATTTTACTTTTCTGTTTGCTTAATGTTTTTGCAATTTTGCATTTGTCTGTAGTACCTTTTCTTTCCTGTTAAAGAGTTCAAAATAGAAAATAAGTCTTTAAAACACCTGTAGAGAGTAAGAAAATACCCTTTGCTTAAAGGCAAAGTCCAAGGCCCAATGATATATCAAGAAAATGAAATTTGGGGAGTTTGGTTTTTTGGGGTGGGGGTGGGGGTGCTGCATTGTAAACATTTGTAGTACTTTTCCACCTTGATTATCTTTATGGGGATCTCTTGTGAAAATGGGCAAAACTGAATAAAAGATTTAGAAAATGGGTGCCTCTTTAAGATAATACCTCTGGAAATTGGGCATTCCTCAAAAAGAGGCTTGCTGTCTTCAACTCATAACTATTTGCACTAAAAATGTGCTAATAAAACTTTCAGTTTAGTTAATGGGAAAATGTTACTGAACATATTTTTTAAAAATAGATTTTGACAGATTGATTTTATTTTGGCATCTTACTTGAAAATGCAAAGCTTCTGTATATAAAGAGGAGATATCTCCCTATGTTTCTCTTTCCTTTCAAAACACGTTTCCTTTTGTAATTCAGTCATTTTGACGATGGAGAGAATTGTGTAAAAAATACACCTGTCCTCTTTATCAATTATAGCAATGGGATGTCGTTTTGAATGTTAATAGCAGTTACAACACCAGTAAACTTTCTGCAGCATTAGGCTCATCAGTTTCAAAGGATTGGATCCACTGGACCAACAGTGTCCTCTAAGTTAGAAACTAGCACTCCGGAGTAGCTGGGACAAAAGAAACTGCTCGCAGTCTCCATCCATAAATGAATTGTCCAGAAGGAACAGTTGCTGGTTAAAGCAGTAGCATATTCACATTGAAACATAAAATATTATATGATATGCAGTAAATGTAACTAAAATTCATAAATCAGTGAGTATCAAAAACTTTGCAATACCTGCCTCCCTTCATAATCCCAAGTTAATTGGCAGTTCAGACACCCGCTTCCTGGTAGTGCTACGGGTGGTTTTCTAGTGATGCTGTTTTGTTATTGTTTTCCATTATAAAATAGGCACCTAAAGCCTTGTTTATTTTTATTGTACCACCTGTTGGATGGAATGTTTTTGCTCAGTTAGTGACCAGTGCTCCTTTTGTTGCTTTCTGTTTCTCTCTTTAGGAAAGACACAGATGAGGCTGATCTGGTTCTAGCAAAAGAAGCCAATGTGAAGTGCCCTCAAATTGTGATAGCATTTTATGAAGAGAGACTGACCTGGCATGCGTACCCAGAAGATGCTGAAAACAAAGAACGGGAAGCAGTGAAAAGCTAAAGTGGCTGGGGGTTCTCTGTCCACCCATAATTGTACATATCCACCCTCCCTTTCCCTCTGCCCAAATGCATCCATGGAAATGTGCTTATTACTGTGCTCGACAGGAGAAATGTTGATATTGGTTGGTTTAGTCATAACATAAATGGTGTGAGTCACGTTTGGATTCCCTCCAGGAGATTGACATGCAGTGTGGTGGTGTTCTATCACCTCATCATTACCGTAATAACAATAATGGTTCTTGTTTTTAAAGCTCCCTCAGAGCCTCCAGGCCTTAACTTCCTGCCTGGCTGTTTATTTCTGCATCATCATGTTCTATGTAGAGAATTGTTAAGCATCATTGTTACTGATTGAAAAAATGGCAAGAGCTCCCTGAATTCAGGACAGACCCAACTGATCTGGCACAAGTTTTGGAGTCTTAGACCACCCAAATAACAAGCAAGCTAGATATTGGGGAAGGGAGGGAGAGGGCTTTTTCTAGTTTCTTTCAAAATTGCTAATGTGTTGCTTGAATTGCCTTCAAAGATGCTAGATAGCCGTTTTCACCCGTATTTTCTAATTTCAGGTCAGACCAGGTACCTTTTGGAGAACAAATAGAAATCAGTTGGCAAGGATAGCATCCCTCTTTTGAACCTGTCCTTTCTCATCTTATTCCTTTCATTCCTTATCTCCCGTATTACTGGTGCTATTTGCATGACATGTTTAGTTAGATTATAAGGGTATCTAATTAATCATGTATACTCCAAAAAAATTGAGTTAATTGACCTATAACTTATCATGGCAATGTCTTCCCCCCTCCCTTGTGCAGACTACTTACTAGAGAATTAACAGCCTCTTTTTAACAACTGTGATCAAAATGTGCTCCTAGAGAAGCCCTATAAAAATACTCTTCCTGTGGGCATTCCCTTTCTATAGTCCTTTTGATTTTTCATTCACTGCACTCCAGGTGTATATCTGAAACGTGAGCATACTGTTGGGATGTGTAATTCCATGAATCTGCACTGACACCAACTTTTAATTGCATTGTAGCAACTCTATTTTAAATTTACTTCCTCAGGGAGTGGAGGGTACAGCATGAAGTAAGAAAGTGATGCTTCCAGTGAGGACTAAATATAGTGTCACTGAATGACCATCTCTGTCATTCGGGGTCATGTGCCCTGAGTGTGCCTATGTAAATTAATTGGCTTAAAGAGAACTGGATCATTCATGTTGCACAAATGGGGCCTTTGTGTTATGTAGGTGAGTAGATCAGCCAAACATAGTGTCATACTTGGAATGTTTTTCCTTTTCAAAAAAATAATAATCTGAACTGTGGTTCCAGAATTCTAATTTGATTTTTTTTCTGGGCTCTCAGTTATTTCTTTAGAGACTTCCCCACCATATCTGTGCTCTTTCATCCTAGTATGTCAATCTGTTGTTTTCAGAATAAGTATGTACTTCAAGTATACTTTTCAGAGAAAACTACCAACTGAGCATAGTAATCTGTGGCTGCATGACTAGAACAGCTTGGAAAATTCAAAAATCCTAGACTGGCATTTTTATTCTGAACAATTGACAGTTAAAATACATAGTGAAATAGATTTCACAGATAAAAATACATTAGCAATTTAGCCAAAAATACCATGTTTTACAGAATAAGGACCTTATGGACTACAAATCCAATTATCCTTCATCACTGGTTATGCTGGATGGGAATTGCAGCTCAAGAACAGCTGGAGGGTCCCACATTAACTTTGTTGACCATTAACAAATGCTATTTCACCAGTGGCTTTCCATCCTGTTCTTCAGCTTCAGGACAGGGCAACAAAAAGCAAAGACTCTTGGCAAGAGCCCTTTCTCCTGACCAAGTCCATGCATATTTTATTTCATGTGTAATGCCTGAATTGTGTAGCATGGTAGGGATTTCTTTGTTATGTTCCACCACTGCAGACTCACTTGACTGCATCAGCTTTTAAAAGTGCCAGTTTCCTGCTACAGTATCTGAGTTTCTGGATACCTCACAATAGAAGCATCCTCCATACTAGTAAGATTTGATAGGAGCTTGGATCATTACTGAAATGGTGCAGGCTACTTTAAAATGGACACTGGTCCTTAACATTAATTCCAGAATCTGAATTCATGCTCTTTGGTCTCTGCTGCCTTAGCAGTACTCATACTGTTCTATTTTTATTTTTTTTTATAATGAGGAGAGATGTTCCTACCCATGCTTGATCAGAAAATCCCACCACTACTTACTTCATTTCTGCATTGTTGAATTTCTTTCCTTTTGTTTAGCAAGCAGATGAAGTAGGTTGCCATCCTTCCATTTATGTATTCTGTACCTTGCTAATCTGTCAGGAATTGCAACGGAGCATGGTGTGATGTAGCATGACGTGAATTACATCTGTGACCCAACTAATGATTCATATGGTTAAGTTCTATATCTTGCTAAATGCCCAGCATCAGAAAATTGGTGGCATTTTTGTTTTGACGGATTTCCTTGTGTTCAATTGATAGGTGTACTTCTGTCAACCACATCAAGAGAAAACATTTATGAAACATGTATTCTAATTTGTTTGGATCATGACATCATTCCATGTATGTAGTTTAAGAACCTATTTTGCAACCAGTCTATCTTTCAGTGGTTTTGAGGCAGGTTTGCCTTTAAAATATGCAGCCTCCATAGCTTTGTTCAGCATATTCTGTTGGAACTGAATAGATTTTTACAGTTTGATTCCTGAATGGGGATGGGTAACCCCTTTAACAATTTACTTTGAAGGGGATTTTGTTGAAAAAAATGCCCTGCTGCTAAATTAATAGAAATATGTTTCTTTTCTAGAATCCTTATTTGGTCAGTCATTTTCCACAATATTAAATGAGATATGTGAAAGTTCAGACTGTAGATTGGACATTAGCTTTGTATTTCTGATTCCACTTGAAAGCTGTCATGTATAGACAGAAGCATAGCTGCCTGCATTTGGCTAATGGCCAGCTATTGCTCTTGAATCCCACTGACCTTAATTTTTGACTATTAGTTCTTCAGTGTGGGGATGTTTTCATTCATTCCTGTGCTGGAAGAGGACAGCAGTTGCAAAACAGGATTTGGGAAGCTATATGGATTTCAGTTTGTTTGCATGTGATTTGTACCACACTGAATAAATGCTTACTTGAGGGTTTTTTTTTTAAGTCAAGAAGAGCCTCAGGTTCTGATTTTTGCATGGGAACTCTCAAATGAGAAGAATATCTCTTTCATCCATTATGCTTCACAGAATACTAGTTATCCTGCCCCACTCCCTTGGAATTCTCTAATTTCTATCTGATAGCTGGAGAGATCAAATGATTATGTATTGTATGGCTACTGTCAAGGATAAAAGACAATTTACTAATAGGCATCTGCCTGAAGCGACACAAAAGGCCCCTGGGTGTTCCAAATCTTCTTGAAAGGAAGACTATTCTGATTTCTAATCCCTTCAAGAATAGAACAGAGAAAAATAAATACAATATCCAAGTTTGTGCAGCTTTCTACCTCACTACTTAAAAATGGCTAATTCCAGCAGAAAGCAGTTCTGGAGGTTTTCCTTATTGCACAAACATGTACTTGTGTGACACATTCATTGAATAGAACCCACCCCCTAACAAGGAAAAGGCCATGACAAAAAAATAAATTGAATAATTAATGACCAAAAATAATGGCCTATAAAACAAAGTACCCATTGGTAAAATTAAATGATTTCTGTGTAATACAAGTCCACCCTGCAAACAAAAGCATGCATGCATTCATAAGAGGCCATTTTCTTCCAGCAAACCACAAAAACAACAGCAATGGAATAAAGGGGAATTACACTGAAAAGAAGAACAATGGTAAACCAAAGTGGATGGAGATGGAAGAATGAGGAAATAGATGAGTATCTGGAAGGAGTTGAGAGGAGAGGGACAAACCACCACCATCTCCTCTGTGTTAGAATGAGGACTGCTGAAAAATACATGTGAAGTTCAGGGATAAAGGTGGCATTTTTAGAACCGTATCCCTAAGAAATATGTTGGCAATTTAAGCTCCCTTCTACACGTCTCTTCTGTGAGAATTAAAAAAAAAACCTGCTACAATACCTTATTTTCCCTTGATATCCAGTTTGTTAGGCCTATTAGTGCAGATGGGAAGCTGACTCCTTGAGCTTATGGGGGGTGGGGGTGGAAATGGTGTCCTCAGTGATCTGGTAGGAGGGGGCTTTGTAGGCCAGGAAGAAAAATGCCAGACATCTGAAGAGTCAATGCCGAGGGCAAGAGTGACATACAGATAGTCTACTTATGACATGCAACAGACTGACCCAGGGTACTTGCAGCCAAAGCTAAAATGGCCACTTTTCCCTTGCTGTCATGTGACTGCATTTCAGACACTTGGCAACTGGCCTGTATTCATGCTTGCAGTCCTGCAGTTACATGACTTTACTTTGGATTTGTTTCTCTTAATTGATTGGCTCTCTTAAAGACCACTGCATAATGTAAAATTGGATTAGTCAGGTGAGTGGCCTCATTTACAACCATCATGGCTTAACTGTAATGGGCAGACTCCATTAAGTTGAAGACTTTGCCTCATAGCCCTTGCCTCCCTTTTAAAGGCTATATGCCTTTAATAATGGTTTCTTTCTCTTCCCCTCAAGCACTGGCCAATGCTCACTCATGATTTACAGCATCCTGTAACAAATTTCAGCTATAGCTGAGGTGCCATAATTTGTCCTCATTATTACATTGGTATGATGATGCTCTAAATCGCTCCTGGGGATTTCACCCATGCCCCAGAATTTTTATCTCTGCATTGTCTGTGAGGAAAGTGGGCAAACCTGTGTAGAAGGAATATTGAATCTGGAGCAAGTGCTGTGGATGATTGACAGCCTGCCATTCCTTTCTGTGCTGCAATCTTGTCAAATCAAGTCTAAGAGAAAGTCTCTGCTGTTACTAATTAGAGTATTGGCTTTCCAGCCCATGTCTTTCAGCTATTTTGGCTGGTATTGCTTCTTACCAGCTAAGTTCATTGGGTGAGCCAAAATCAAGTTGAATTGCAGGCTAAATGAGAGACATCTCACAAAATGTTGAGGGATCGACTCTGGTAACCTTTAGGTTTTAAGGTCCTGCTACCTCACTGATTTCGCCCTTATTTTTATTCTCAAATGTATTGGAGAGGAAGCTTAAGATACCTTGAAGTGCACCTTTCCTACTCCTGTAGGTACCAGCCTAAAAGCTACCTTCTTCACTAGTGGCTGCTAATAGAAATTCTTACAGAGTGGTAATAAGACTTCTGTGATTACAAGTATTAGTGTGTCAGGCTAAAAAGAAAAAGGCATTTTAGGAAGTTGGTAGCAGCAATGCCGTTAGTAAAAAAAAAAAGATGGCATTTCTCTGTAGCATTTGCTTCCTAGTATTTGCTAGGATTTTGAGATGGATTAGTGTACATGTGTTTTAAATGCTTACTCTTATACAGCCTGTTGAATGCATGCATGTAACTGATTAGTTGCCATGTGGGGAGAATCATTAGAATAAAATATACAATCTTTGCCTTCCTCCACTCCCAAACACACAATTAAAAATTTTATTTTGGATGCACCATTAATATAAAGTAGCACACACAGGACCCTTTCACAGTTTGGCAAATTTGATGAATATCTGAAGGTTCTTAAGAGTTCTTTGTCAAACTTCAATGAAGCAAAAATAGGGCAACTTGACACTTGAAGAATTGCTACTGCAGATGAAATGCTAAAACACTCTACGGGCAGAAATATAAGTAAAGTGACAGCTTTTAGTAAGTTCCACAATGTGACCTCTGTGTAATATGATGTAACCTTGTTCAAAGGCTCTTTTAAAAGCGAGAGCTCTTTGAACCATCAACAAAGAATGTCCAGATTTTTTTTTTTTTAAAAAAAAGGGAGGGTGGGGGAGAACATTTCATCCTTTACCTGAAGATCCTGTTAAGTTTGTCTTTCTTAGTGTAGTAGAACTAGCCAGCTGATTCTAAATTTCTAAACCATGCTGCATTTAGGTGGCTCCTAAACTGATCCCACCTCCTCACATTTTGGCTCCTGGTCTAAATGTTTCAACAGCAACAAATGCTTTTTGATGTCAGCGTTTTCACGTTTTGTATTTGGAAGTTGTGGGAACGGGGTATATGTGTATGATACATTGGGAAGTTTGAATCTTGGCTTTCTGCGTATCTGTTTAAATTGCACATTTTAAACTGATTATCAGAATTTAAGCTTATGATAAGACTTCAATTATGTAGGCACAGTTTTCTGATGCAACACTTAAGTGGCTATCAAACATGAATTGTTATCCTCAGTCACCTAAGCGTGGATTAAAATACAAAGAGAATTAATTTTATGTTAATTACACTCATTAATTTTTGATTAACAATGTAATTTTTTTACCCAGGTGGCATTTAAATCTTCTCGGCTATATGGGCTCTAATGATTTTTGTCTCCTCCCACCAGCAGGAAGAGGAAGAGGAGAGAAATCAGCCAGCCAGCACAATTTGAATTATCTCAGAACCTCTATACCACTGCTGCCTTTTCTTTGTTTCACGTGACCTACTACCTATCATTTTTGCCAGAACTATAATTTATGCAGTTCAATTTGGTATTTAACCATATGACAAAATTGGTTCGGTTTTGGCTCATAGTCTCTCTATTCTATCTCTCTATCACTTTCTGTCTCTTTCTCTCTCTCTTTTTCTTTCTTTCCACTGAGAACCACTTCTCTGCAAGTTTCCTAGTGGACAAGGGACATCTGAGATAATAACTCCCTCCACTGCTTCAAAAGCAAACATTCAGATTTCTTTCCTTCTGAAAAAAGGAAAGAGAATTGGCTTAAGGAACCGCTCTACTTTTGATTTGAGCTTTTTGATTGAGCTTTTTTTGATTGCTTGAACCCAACTGTGTGTCTCTGACAGATAAGACGGCATGAATTGTTCCCTCTGGGTGGATGCCACAATTCTTCATGCAACGCTTTGAATCATTTGCAAACGGTATGTCAGGTTGCGGCTTTTGCTTGCAACAAGCAGTTTGGAAGATTCAGGAAGATCTATTTGGATCCAGGTGAAAACACAAGCCCAATCATGTGCACAGAATGTGTGAAAAGGCCTTGGAGGTTTAATGCCCCTGGTGCTGGTTACAGAAATCAAATATATTCAGGTTCCCAATGATCAGTGTTAGACTCCTGAGGAAAAAGAGAAAGGTGGTGTGTCAACTCCCCCTCTTCCCAGCCTAGCAATATGCTGCCTTCCACAACAGAATGTTGAACTTTTGGCTAACGGGTGTGTCTCTGCATGTGTGTTAGACTTCCTTGGGGGGGTAACATTTTAGCCAAGCCTTTTGATTCTAAACTAAAAGTAGGTTATGCTGATTTTTAAAGTGTGAAAATAATTTTTAAAACGAGCTCTTTGTTGTACAACTTGACATGTTACAAATAACCCCATATTCCTCATCTCCGCTCTTTCATATTTCTTGTATCAGTTCTAATAAATGGTTACTTTTCAGTACAGGCTATTGTCTTTTATTCAGTCTTTTCTCCTTTTTAAACCCCTCAATATTGTCTGGATATGGTTATATATCACATACTTTGTTGCTGTTTAGATATTGACCTAGAGCAGAGTTGGTGAACCATTTTGGCATATGTGCACGTGCCAGAAACCAGAAGAGTAGCCGTCCTGTGTGCATGTGCGCGCTGGGAAGATGATCATCTGGTTTTTTGGCGCGTGCATGCGCACTGGCCAGCTGGTCTTTGTGCATGCTTGTGTGCCCAAAATCAGAAGTTCTGGGGGCCGGTGCGCATGTGTGTGCCAGAAACCGGAAGAGCAGCTGCCTGGCGCGTGCATGCACACCAGGTGGCTGTTCTTAAGGTTTCCAGCGCTCCGGTGTGCGTGAAGACCAGCTGGCCAGTGTGCCGGAACCCAGAAGAGCAATGGGTGATGGCTTGCGTGCTTGGAGAGATGGCTCTGTGTGCCACTTCCGGCACATGTGGCATAGGTTTGCCATCATGGACCTAGAGAATTTGACCAACTGTTAAAGCACAGTAGTAGCGTTATGAAAATTTAGCTGTTTGCTTTTCCAAATGTGGGGTTGTGCAATTGACCTTGTATAGCTGCCAGTAATTTTTAGCTTTTCTGGAACTGAAACTTAGTTTAATCCCATTGTTTATTATTATTTTAATTCTCCCTTCCTTTCCTTCTGTGATTGCCTTTCACAATCAAGCACCCTCCAGATATTCTGGCGTCTAACATCTATCTAAAGCCACTTTCCATCATGCTGGCTGGGAATAACCGATAGATTAGATTTGCAGGTCAATAGCACAGTGTTGATAGCTATTAGCTAATAGCATCTGGGGGATAATAGCTGATGACTGCAGTTCAGTGGAAGCAGTTTTCTGAGTGGACTGCCCTACTCCCATTTTAGAGTCATCCTTTCCTGATTGTTGGGTAGTAACAGGATCAATACATAACCTTCAAATAAAATAGATCTTGAAACACCAGTCTGGCTGAGAGTCAGGGAAATTCTGAGCTTGGCTTCCCTTTGTTGCACCAGCTTCTTAGGTTCAAGTGCTGTTCACTCTTCCTCCACCGTAGTTCCTGTAAGTGCAGCATCTAGAAATGGAAACAGATTGCTATTTTTTATATCGAAGGGGGGAAAAATAAACTTATGAAAAGCAGAGAGAGAGAGAGAGAGAGAGAGAGATAGCACTCTCAAATAGCAGCTTTGGTATCTCTGTACTTAACATAGTATGTGATAGATTGTGGGGTCCTTATTTCTCTCTCAGCTGGGTTGTTTGCAGATGTTTCATTACCTAAACTTGGTTACATCATCCATGCAGTTGGTGCACGCTAGACTTCCGCACTGGTGACAATTACTTCTCTGTGTGGTCTGGGTCTATTTCTGGGATGCAATAGGACCATGATGGCGAACCAGTTGGTGCTGGCAGGCAAAGTTACCTCACTGCACATACGCATGCCTCACAGCTGATTTTTGGCCTGTTTGAGGCCTTTTTCAGCCTCCCAAAGGCTTGAGGAAGGCTTCTTCAGGCTTTTACAAGCTTTGTAGGCCAAAATCTAGTCCCGTTTTGTCACTTCCTGTTTTTCAAAAAAAGAAAGAAAAACTCAGAAGTGACAAAGGGGGCTAGATTTCAGGCCTCAAACTGGCCAAAAATCAGCTGTGAGGTGCAGTGCAGGTAAGGGGGCAGTGGTGGTGGTGGGAGATTGCGTGTGCATGTGTTAGGGCATGTGGGGCGGGCGCGCATTGCCTTCTGGGTGCTGGCACACGTACAATTTTTGGCACAGGAGCCCAAAAAGGTTAGCCACCACTGCAATAGGATGTTATGAATTCTCTTCAGGGAAGAAACATTGCATGGATTTCTCACGTAGAGTCATGGAAGAGGGGGAAAAAAACCAGCCTCATATGTAAAATACCAATGAAGAAAAATTAAGGGAGGATACCAATGATGAACTTTGGACATAACTTGCACCGCAAAAAAAAAAAAATCCAACAGAATTCCAGGCTGATATGTAAGGATAGGGAGTTCTGCAAGTAAGGGGCCATTGCTGTGGAGGCTTTGTCCCTATTTAACCTATTTTAAAATACTTCAAAGGCATAAGGCCTCTGGCCTAGGCACCCCTTCTTATAACTCCTCATTAGATAAAACCAACCCTTTGAACTACACCTGGAAATGCAGTTGGCATCAAATTATTGTTAGATTTTCTTGCTGCCTAGAATGACACCAGCCAAATTATTGCATATGGCACCAGTGGAATTCCAGATTTTCAAAGATTATTCTGCTCCAAAATCCTTAAATTGATCTACCAGAAATACAGCGCCTGCTGGATTTCCCAATGACATAGAATGGATAAGGAATATGACACTTGGATGACACTCATATTTTTTACAATGCCAAATCTGAAAATTTCAGTGACTTTTTATAAGATTGCAGAAAAAAAGCCAATGATCTTTTCTTATAATCTCATAAAAATTTTTGTGATTTGTAGGGGAATGCTTTTCTCACAATGCCTAAAGCCAGAAAGTGTGTGCTAGTGTGCATGTGTGTATCATTAAATTTCATTGGAGGAAGTGTGCTTTCCTATAATTCCCAACATGGTAATTTAATATATTTTAAAAGGGATTTTTGTTTTTTGAAGACTAGATGGACGGTGGATGATTTGCATCTGAGCATATATATGTATAAAATGCCTGGGATATTACATATACGTGCACCTCAAGTTTCCCTAGAGAGCTCCTGACCTTCATTGGAAGTCGGAATACTCCCTGTTCATGGCAGAAATAATCTCTGGGAGGCTAATAAAAAACTATGCAAGCTGAAACAAAGAGCACGGCTCTTTATCATTAATCTGTGGATTTTTGCAAGCGCAGCAAAATGAAGCAAAGAATCCGGGCATGCAGCATACTTACCTACTTACTTTCCCATCATACTAGTCCTTTTCTACCCAACAGGGACAGAATACCATGTTTTCCCAAGAATACAACCTATCCCACAAAATAAGCCCTAGCTTGATTTTTATGTGTGTGCCTAATATAAACTCTACCCAAACAATAAGCTCTAGTTAAGACCCTGCCCACTCCGTCCCACCGCCTGGTTACATGAGGTGGGGTGAGGTGCATGTGTTGGTTCTGTGGTCACTCACGGCTGGATGCCATGGGGTACACCGTGCGGGGGGGCAGCATGATGCTCACTTGCGCAATGGCACAATGTGCCATGTGGCCTCCTGATGTGAGTGACAGCACTGGCGTGATGTGCCACATGGCCTGCAGCCAGTGGTAGCCCCAGTGTGATGTGCAATGTGGCCTCCTACCATGACGGTGGCATCGGCACGAGCCCGCAGCATCCTTCTTTGAGCGGTGGCACTAGCA